CCTCATAGGACTTTTGGAGTTCTGCTGTCATGGTGGCCAACATGATGCATGCTACTTTGGTAGCATCCCTTTCATGTGCTCGGAAGTCAACGATGTCCTGGGGAGTTGCAGTGGTCTCATCAATCTCCTTAAGCTCCTTATCGAGGATATATTCTTTGTCCTCGTAGCGGGAAATCCTCCTGATGTTTCTGATCCATTCATTGAAGTTAGATCCATCAAAAGTGACTTTCCCACACAAGCTCATAAGGGTAAAGGAGCCATTAGGATTAGAGCTAGAAGCAACGTTGTTTGAAGACATCTGAAAGAAGAGAACAAGATTAGATTAGATATTAAGAGAGTCCTTAAATAAAACACCAAAATGTAATATTAAGGCTAGGATCCAATCACAATATATTATAACTTAGAAGAGGTATGCCTTAATCCAAGCTATAACATATTTGAAAGGTAGGTGGATGACGATTCACTAATTTCCACCATGAAAAACGAAATATAAATATTAGGTTTTTTTAATTGGTTCTTAGAAATTCCTAGATTCTTTTGAGATTCAATGAACTTTTCAAAGGCATGTTTCAATCTCGAGTGTGCCTCCAAGTTTTGTGACTGGGATACCGAGGATCACAAAACGAGGTGTGAAGTAACCATGCAAATCACTTGGTACCCTTAAAGTTTATCACTTAATCGATGTGCCGGTAAACCACACACGCTCCACCGATACTATGATAAACCTTAAGTCACCCTTTACCTACCTTGTTAAGTCCAAGTTAGTGTGCCAGTTAACCACACAAGCTCCACCAATGACTTAAACAAAGTGTAAAGTGTAATTTCATGGATTAGCATCTTATTCACATTTTTCATAAAGTAACTAAGATTGGGAATTTAATAAAAGCATTTAGTTACTTTATAATATTCATCATACTTTTAATGAGAATTTATAAGTCCTTGTCCTACCCGTTCGACTAACGACCCTCCACCGATCAAGGAAGCGGTGGGTGAGAGTGGACACCCATTAAGTTGCCATTTTATAGGCAACAACCTTATACCCCCTTATAGATCAGCTTCGTGAATGAGGCGTACTAGCGGTAAGACGATTTGATCTTATACATAGATATATATATATATATATATATATATATATATATATATATATATATATATATATATATATATTATTAACTTATAATATTATAAAGTATAAGGGTTGAATTTTAACTTTTAATATTCTAAGGGTTGGAACTAAAGTTTTAATCAAGACTTTACTTGTTCCAAAACTTGAGGGCAAGTTTTGTAAACTTTCAAAACTTTTCATTTCTTATAACTTATGAATTAATTGAGTAATAAAAATGAAGTCTCTTCATTTTTTATAACTCTTGTGTTCTTTTAATGGCTTTAATAAAAGTGTGACTTTTAGTTTTCCATAACTTGAGGACAAGTTATGGACTCCATTAAAACACATTATGATCATGAATTAAATTACCATGAAGGTTACAAGCAATTCCTATGATCATCTAATCTTCATAAGTTCAAGAACATGAATATGAACATTGTCAAGAATCAAAAATCACACTTAAAAACTTGTAATTTTGATAATTGCCATTGTAAATGGATTACATAAACATTACACCATCTAAAACAAGTTTTCAAGTACCAAAACAGTTTAGGGTAATGTTTCTAGTCCATTTCCAGCAACACAAGTCGAAAAACTGTTGTCAGGGCCTCCTACTCGTCGAGTGCATGAACCTACTCGACGAGTAGGATGAATATTCATTTGGACTCGTCGAGTCTCCCCATGGACTCGGCGAGTCCACTGATCAGACAACAAGTTGTTTCGATTTTTTTAACACAATTTTGCACAAATAACAAACAAACAAGCCTAGGCTCTGATACCACTGATGGGTTTTGAGCATTCTAACACTTCCTAAGTGTACATGCAACCCTAATAACCTTGGATCTATGTTTGTCTAATTATCATGGAAAGTTGAATTCCAAGGTTATATTCCTATCTAGCATACATGGGGAACATTTTTAACTGGAATGAAAGATAGAATAACTTACCTTGTTGTTGATTATGATCCTTGAAACCTTGTGAGCCTAGCACCCCAAGTATGATGCCTCAAATGCTTCACACAACACCAAATGCAAAGGAGTAAACTTTGAGAGAATCTTACACTTGCAAAATCGGCTCTAGCCCTCTTGTTTCTTAGTATATCCAATTTTGGTGGAGGAGATGGTCATTATATAGTGTAACACATCGAGGGTTACACCATGTAAACCCTAATGTATCATGGTTCTTCATTTCCATGACCCATGGGTTTGTAACTCCCATGGAGCATCCTATGGGTTTAACCCAACTTGATAATCCATGGAGCCTCTTATCCCACTATACAAGTTATGGATGATTTACATAATCAACCCATATATTTAATTAGTTATCTTTTGATCTCTTAATTAATTCTAAATTAATTCTTGATCAAACTAATTAAATAATACTATTAATATATTAGAACTTATAATATATTAATAAACCACAAGTGTTATTTCTCTCATTTAGTCTATCCAATTGCATGGTGCCATGCAACCCAAATGGACCATGCCGGGTCGGGTCAAGTACATACCATAAATAGTTATGGACTTAGACACCTTATCCACCAGTTCCATGTTCAACAACATCTGCATTTGATTGTAATATCTTTTGATACAAACCAATATCAAATTATGTAGCTGCCTCAATAAATTCATTGGCAATAAGCTCTTTTTGTCTATCATGAACCTCAACATGTAATGGTTGTACCTCAATAGGGGATGATCTAAGTGGGCTTGGTAAATCATGTACCTCAGCTGTGTGGTTTTCATTTTCATCTATTTCATCCATTTGTACAATAGTTACCTTCCTAACAGGTTTAGGATTCATGAAGTAGGTAACTAACTTTGTCTCACCATGTTTAGTATATACCCTCATGATTTTGTGATCACGCACATATTAGGCAAAAGTTCATAAATCATCATCATTGCCTAAGGGTTTAAGACCAAAGTTGAAGTCTCCACCATGCACAAGGAAGTGATAGTAAATCATAGGAGGAACGTTGTACCTGAACCCTTTCATGATAGCTTCCAACTCATGAACTAAAAAACTCGTATATATCCACCATGTCAACATAGTTCACACTTCCGTCAATGTACTGGACATCAAGAAACTTGGTGAACTGACCTCCATGGTATAGCTTGATGATAAATAATGTTGGGTGGCCATCTTCAAACCAACAACAAAAATAAGTTCAGAAGAATGATTTCACATACAAATGATGTAATGTACAGAGAAATTACAAAATCCTTACCATAGGCCACCTTTGCATTGAACGGTTTATCTAAGAGCTTTATATTCCACATTGATATGTTCATACACTGAAATACCATCGATCACAAAAAAAAATTAAAAAAAAAAAAAAAACATCACTTTGAGATTAGGGCTTTTGGGTAACGAACAAAGACGAAGGTGATAGGAGAGTCAATTGACGAACTGCACAGGGGATTTGGCAGTAGGTATCAATTAATTAAGAGGATGGGGTTTAATTTAATAAGATATTAAAAGAAGGGATGTGAATTGATAGAAATACCCTCACACAAACGGATGGCAAAAACGACTGTTAAGCCTTTTGACCAATTTCACAACAAATCAAACCTTTTGGACCACCGGTGCAACCCAAAAACTTTTTGAATCAAACATCCAATTTTATACATACCATAGGGACCAAACTTGCAATTTCGTCTTGTGAGAAATAGCAAAAAAAACCCCAAATTGCATTTTTAGCCACCAAAATCATAGATGGATTAAGCCCATCTACGATTTTGGCAACCCATCTGCGAACGTAAAAGTCGCTAAAGCACAGACGTGCTTTAGCAATTTGTACGTTCGCAAATGTTTTTTTTTTTTGTTGTATAAATACCTCCTTCGCCCCCCTTAAAATCGCAAATGGACTAAGCCCATCAACGATTTCATCTCCATTTCAACTGCGATTTTTGATATTTTTTTACTACAAAATTGATAGGGTTCGACTACGAAACAACCTTATTATCAACAAGTTATACGCATCAAGTGTATTATTTTCATAATTTTAAAGTAAACATCGTTGGCACTCTTCTCTAATTGATATCTACTCTCCCAATTATACATATAACCTATATAAAGAATTTATGTTATGTAAAATCCCACATAATCATAATGTGTTGTTGGTTTGTATAGAGTTCTCGGTCATCCTGCTGGTGTTAAGTTAAATCTTCAAATTCTGAAAATACCTAAACATGTAACAATTACTAGTACATCTTTAAAACATATTAATACTAAATTATTTTCTAATATAATTTAAACGACCAGAATAATTAATGGCTAAAACAGATTAATTTTAAGTAATTAGAAACTTCACTCCTTATAACAACTAAGCATAAAGTTGAAGTTTTAAATTTGATAAAATAATATATATGCCTTATTATGTTTTTAGGGTTTACGCATTTAGCCACTTAACTTATTTTGTGGCTTTATACGGGAACGAATCACACTTTGTCGGGTTTATTAAGTCCTTTTGGATATTATGAAGGGGTAACCCGGTTACCCCTTTCCATGTCACTAAATTAATATGCCAGATAGACTACAATTCCTTTGACCCTCTTCTCCTCCCATCGACTGACTTCTATCTTCCTCTTCCCCCATTTCTCATCTTCATTAGCTATTTAATACATCAGATTGGTAGAATTATGTAACACACAATATGTTTATTCAGATGCGTGTTGATGATTGTTCTAACAAAGATGAGGGTGTAGATCTCGTGAAAGTTCTAGATGATTCCGGTTCCGTTCTCATTTTGGGAACCATCGTTTTTTTCTTAAACCTGAAAAGGTTTGTTAATCGATCTAGATTAACTTTGAATTAGTGTTCAATTCGTATAATTTTGTTCAAAATTTCATCAAATTCGTCTTCGTTTCAGGTAGTGAACGCAATCAATGGTTTAATGGTCGGAGATGATCTCCCGGTGAAGGAGATGGAAGAGTTAGAGTGATGGAATTAAGAAATCAACAAGAAAGTAGAAAAAATGGTTTAGAGAGAGCTTTGGGGTAGATTAGGGTACATAATGGTGCTGGTGCAGAGGAAAATGTTCATCTGCAATCTACTTCAAAATAGGTTTCCCCGGTGATCTTCTACAACGCCCTTTCTGCAAACCTCATCGAATTGAATCCACAACAAATAACGATTGTGAAGATAGAAATTTCAATTTTAAGGATCAAGAGATTGCTTATTATAACTTGATGATTGCGTTTGTTCCTTCGGCTATCCTTTTCTCGTCGTATGTTGTTTACCTTAGTGCTGGTGAGTAACTAAAAAATTTAGATGATTTTTTTTAGATTTAAACGACTAATATTGGATAGAAGAATGATTGTATTGAGTTTTAGATGATGTTATATATTTCTTGATCTTTTCATTGCCTGGAACGTTAATTTTGACTTTTTTTATTTGACCATTGAATTATTTAATCTTCCTGGACATCATTTACTAAGCATCAGGTGGTATTAGGTATCAGTCGGAGCATACAATTACTTCACATCATTGAGATTGAATCTAATTTTGCAGTTCCGATTTATTTTGAACCCCACCAACTTCAATTATAATAATTCCGATAAAGAGCCGTTGTTAAATCAAGAGTATTGATAACAAACAAACTTGGTGGTGCTTTGATTTAATTAATTGTTATTGACTGGGGGATAATTTGTATTTGGTAACTATTCAAACATTTTGGTCAAAATTACTTCTTTGACTTTCAATTGGATATGAAGGAAGTCACAATGCCACATCACGAAATGTTTGTGTGGCTTAGGATACCTGCTACATTAGGTAGTAAGGACCAAAAAAGCAGGTAGATATTAACTTTATTCCCTCATAAAGCTACAAAAATAGTTTAAGAACTAAATGAATCAATCCTAGAAAATTTGTAAGACATTTATATCATTTTTCCTTTTAAATATAATCAAATTTTTCCAACAAAAAAGAGTGAACAATAAAACAAAAAAAAAAGTTTTTATAGTAGCCAAACTATGTTCGGAAATAGGTTCTTATGTTTACAGATGGATCAGTCTATCTGAGATGTCGCTAAAGCACGTGTGTATTTTAATGACGTGTACACTCGTAGTAGATGGGTTGCCAAAATTACAGATCGGCTTAATCAATCTTATCAATAATTTTGATGGCTAAAAATGGTGTAATTTGGATTTATTTTGGGCTATTTTCCAAAAACTAATTAAATTTAAACTTAAATGAAATGAGCACGGCTAAACCCTATCGGAATGGATGAGAACCTCAGATTCCGAAATCTTAATCACAAAATCAAACTTAAAAAAGGTTAGGGTTACCGAAGAAACAAGCAGCGATCTTCCGGCGACATATTCTCCGATCGGTCAAGCGATCGTAAGTACATGTCACTCTCTCTATCTCTCTCTCTCTCTCTCTCTCTCTCTCTCTCATATAGAACTGTATAATCTTCCCTCTGTGCGAAACAAGAACACTTTGTACAGATATATGTAATATGTTCATCCTTTAATACATAAATGTGTTAAATATGCAATTTAACTTGTGTAAGCTACGCCCTTATAACTTGATAATAAGCTATTGATTAGCTTGAGTTGTCGTGAAGGAAAAGTGGACATAGTCATTACAAAATCGGATGCACATTAATATCCGGATAATCAAGTCTTAAGATAATTAACTTCCCAATTTTTCATATAATCTTGTGAGCAAGCTGTTCTTATTAAAACCTGGAAGTTTTGAAGAGAGTAGGTTATGTAAAACCTTGAATCCTTGTGGTTGTAAGGATAATAATCCATATGCCTATATGGACTTTTAGAAAGACAATGTCAGCTGCTTGAATAACGAGGATAAACTTCTGTAGCATACAAGATATCTGTAAAACCCTGAGCAGTATGTATAAGTCAGAGGTTACTTCTACCTGAATATGATGGTCTACTAGTTTATCATGTTTCTGCTGCATCAACAAGTGCTTCCTATGCTCATCCATCTACAGTATTTTCTTATCACCATAACTCTTCACATTGTCCCTTTTTTTCTTTTTAAATTTCTTTACCCCTACATCTCTCTTGATTGCATATCATTCTTCACAGAACCCACATGATTCTTCCTGCAGCTTTGACACAAACCAACTTCACCTACAACAGAATGCATACCAAAATAACATCTATCAAATCAGAGCCTGAGTCCACTTCTGCATCAGAACACCATGTTTTTGTCAGAAGAAAGAGATCAAGAAACCCCGAATTAGTCACAAAAACAGAGCCTATCCTACCCGACATCGAAGAATTCGCATACGGAAAACCAAATGTCAACCTACCTTTAACAAAATCCAAACCCAAAACCCAGGTCAAACCAGTCAACCCACCTTCAAACTGGGAAAAAGTTCTCGAACAAATTCGCAAAATGAGATCGTTAAATGATGCACCGGTGGACTCCATGGGGTGTGAAAAAGCGGGTACTTCACTCCCTCCAAAAGAAAGAAGATTTGCGGTTTTGATATCTTCACTTCTCTCAAGCCAAACGAAAGACCATGTCACACATGGAGCCATACAACGTCTCCAAGACAGCAACCTTCTAAAACCGGAAACAATCGAGAAAGCCGATGAAACAACCTTAAAAAACTTGATTTACCCGGTTGGATTTTACACGAGAAAAGCCATTAACATGAAGAAAATAGCGAAAATATGTTTGTTGAAATATAACGGGGACATTCCGAATACACTTGAGGGGTTGTTGTCGCTTCCGGGTATTGGTCCTAAAATGGGTCATTTGGTTATGAATGTGGGGTGGGATAATGTGCAAGGGATTTGTGTGGATACGCATGTGCATAGGATTTGTAATCGGCTTGGTTGGGTTGTGGGGACAAAGACACCCGAAGAGACACGAGAGGGGTTGCAGATGTGGCTTCCGAAGGAGGAGTGGGTCCCGATAAATCCTCTTTTGGTGGGATTCGGGCAGACCGTTTGTACTCCTCTTCGGCCTTCTTGTAGTTTGTGTAGCGTTAATGAACTCTGCCCGTCAGCGTTTCGGGCAGCCACCACGCCCAAGAAGAAGCTGCCCGGAAAAACAAAGCGTGAGGAATTGTAAGTAAGTATTGGCTCAGTAGACTTTTGATGTTTGTTTATGTAATTATAAGCTTTTGTGATGGGCTCTTTGGTTTTAATCCAAGGCCAAAACAATATGGCTGTTTTTGTGTGGTTGCTTTAGTGTTAGGTAGCAATAGCAGCATTCTAGGTTTTATTGACCAGATCTAAACTCGAAGTTTGGCAACCAAGGCTAGCATTTTTGTGATGCCCATATAATTTGTAACCTTTTTAAAAAAAAAAAAATGGAATACCCATTAAAATCACATTTTTCTGTCATGGGTTTAAACTTGCCACTTGCATTTAATTTTGTGCGCAACGTAGCCAAACATAAACCCTTGATGGACTAGGAGATCGTGCCTTATTGTAAACCATTTCATAAGGACTCTTTCCCTTTAAAACGGATGAATGGGTAAAATTAATAAGATAAAAAGTAGTAAGAACAATATCACCCCAATGTTCTTGTGGAATAGCACTTTGAAACAAAAAGGATCGAACAACATTTAACACATGTTGACGAATGATGCCCTTATCCTTAGCAAACTTATTCATGTTCTTATTGATAGATTCAGTAACATTATATGTTTTGGCAGTTTTGTGTATTTCGACTCTCTTATTAAAAGTTAATTTACAAAAATAGTAAAAAAAGTTCCAATCAAATATTTACTATTTTATCATTAAAAATAGTAAAAAAAGTTTCCTTAGACACACAACACTTAACAATAGAAACTGAATTACCCTTAATATTACCTTGTTCACGATAATGCAACCGCCTACCCTCATTATTAGTCCTCACAATGAGTTTTAATGTGATGAGATGGAAGCATATATCGACTCTTGAGGAGAAGTTATCAGTAATGTGGAGACGTTTCAACGTTTAAAAGAGAAACATAAGGAAATGGATGCACTAAAAGACAAGTTAAAATGTTAAATCATAACAAGCTTTTGAATGTACTTTTTGTAGTGATCATTGTAATCTAGCTCTGTTTTTTTCGAAATGATGTTTCTCTATTGTATTGTATTGTGTTCGTGAGTGTTGTAATAAGTTTATTAGGTTTGACATTGCAATATGATCACCAACATTTCTATGTAAGTCAGTTGACGATTTTTAATGATTAATGTGCATGAGCAAATGGTCAATTTGTTATCTAAGGATGTTCTTACGACACTTTTAAAAACCTGGAAAGTTGCATACTATATTGTTATATTAGTTGTTATGACATGTTTAAAACCTGGACAGTTGCGTACTATATTATTATATTAGGCTTACAAAATTGGAAACTTGCATATCATAAACATCCAAAAGGCAAGAATTTACAATTGCATTCAATACAATTGGTTTTGAAATTAATTAACCTAATCCACCTCTCCTTATCTTCATCTTGGATTTGTTATCCTCTTAGACTTTGGCCTAATCGGCGATTAATCCAAATATCGCTGATACTTAAGGTTGTGGGCCTGAATTAAACAAACTTGGTATAATGGAGTTTTGTTTGGGCCTAATATCATTACAATCGCCACCAGTTGTTTTGGGCCATTTCCTAATACTAATTTCCTTCCAGTTCAAAATGTAGCCCATGGTATCACTCCACATATGACTCTCGATGACTTCAATTGGAGTGTACAACATAAGAAACGTAAGAGAGACCTGTAAGACTCCGGTGATCTTGAATTTATCTTCAACTCTCATTCGACTTAGTTCAATAATGATATCTGGAATGTCTAGGGGACTGATTTCAATATGGAATAAGCTGATTCCTATCAAAGTCACAACGTTTATTTGGAAAGCAACCCAATGTAGAATCCCATCTGCCTTGGGTTTGCGAATAGGGGCATAAATAATGATACCACTTCATGTGGATCGTGTATTACCGGTTTGGAATGTGCCAATCATATACTTGTGTGTTTCCCTTTTGCTACAATGGTGAGATCTAAGATTTTAAAGTGGTGTGATACTGATGAGTTAGATGCTCAAAATGTGGGAGATGCCACGTCGTTTGCAACTACTTGGGGAAGATGTCCAAAATTTATTCGTACCAAAAAAAAAAAAAAAAAACATAGTTTAAAAACTTGTGTTGGTCTGAAATGAATAACATATCACTACCACCTATTAACTAGGTCTGAAACGATTTCTACAGTTACTAGGATTTGCCAATTTGCTATGTTTTAGAAGATCATTAGCACACATCTGATTTAAAGTACAAACATTTCAAAAAGTAATTGTAGGTATGCTCGAGAATAGAGGTAATTGCGACTAGACAAAAAATATTGGTTTCCAAAGAAATGAATGACAGAGTTTTATAGCCTACTTAAATGGTTCGTTTGTTTTTAAATTCCAATCAATATGACACATTAATCTCACATAGGCTCCATGTAAGTAGATTGATAGAAAAACTGGGAACAGGAGGTCATAAGAGAAGAAATTAAAAATAAAAAAAATAGTTTCACGACTTAGCGATTTAAACATAAATAACTAAAAATAGTATATTTATATAATTTAAACGGTCATCTAAGTAAGTTAAAAGTCATATTTGTTATACTCGAGATAACTATAGGGTTATTAAAAGAAATTGATTTGCATCCCCCGACATTCCCCACCTGCCCCTTGGAATGGAATCTATGTAGTTGGGACTTTTTCGTTTATCTCTTTATTTTATTTTACAAATTAAACGTGAAGGATTCAACTTATCTGTCAAAATAATATTTACCCCACTCTTTTAAAGTAACTCCACATTAAATTAATACGATGATGAGTTTTATTTATATTTTTTTTATACTGTGGTATTTAATAATAAATTTGATAAACTTGACCTATTTATCCTCCACGAAGTAAAAGCATTTGCACATTATTCCTTGACTTTTGATTCATCTGTAACTTATCGGAAACATCATTTTCTCTTTTCCTTTTTAGAACCAAAAGGCCCGTCGTGCACGTGACAAACCTTTGGGGCCACCATATCAACGAACTTTTTCATCATCTTATCATAGCTTGTACATTAAAAATCTTAGTTTAATTAGAAAAGATTTTGTTCCTTTTTTATCTTATCTCAATTATTATTACAAGGCCTTTGTGCTATTGCAAAACTTTAGAATTATTGTTTACACATATTTTTCATATATGTTCTATCCGTGAATGACACACTTTAATAATTTATGATGATCCCTCTAAACAAGCCCACGCTTATCGCCAAATGTCTCTTCTATTATGAATTGTTTTGGCGCGAAGCTTATCCAGGGGGTTTATTCCTTTAGATGTGTCAATTGAGCAAATACGTCCATGGTGATTAGGATGAATATTTCGTAATGAAAAAGCGGTAGTTCGCACATCCAATCTCATCAGGCCCAAATAACTCAGTTTTCTATCATGGTTCCGAAAAATGAACCGGATATAGACAGTTCTAACAAGATTTCATTCTTGAATAAAAATCCATTTTTTTTTATTTATTTCATCTATTTCATGACCAGAATAGGGTTGGATACGCGTTACACCATGATGCTTTAAAATGTTGTATTGTATAACTATATAATACATAAATTGTTGTGTATGTCAAAACATTGTTGTGTACAAATCACTTACCATTACGGTATCCTCTAGTAACAATGGCAGATGTAGAAAGTTTGAGTAATGGTGACACAAAAAAAAAATCGAACAAATCGTAATAGTAGCGACACTCATATTTCAAGACGTTGCATCTAATAGAAAAACATTTTTTTTACATTAAATGGTCGGAATTAAGGTGGTGGCTCAAGACCCCCCAGGCACCACATAAGTCTACCACTTCCTAGTAATGATTTACAAAAAAATCATTATTGTTGTTCTGATTTATAAACATTTGGTAGTGCTATTATGCATATTAAATCATCTTCGGATAAATCATTTGCTAAAGTGTGTGGAAAATATGACTCGCTAACCCTTTGACCCATCTTTGAATCTAGTGAGCTCCATTTAAGGGTTCTCGATTCTGCTCCATAAAGGCTGCTTAACATCATTGCCAAATACAAATTATCTCCCTAATACCCATCAAATTGAGGAAATCACTATGGATGGTGGATAAACCGTTTTTATTATGCATATTAAAGTCTTGTTTGATAGTTGGTGTCTGGAAAAGTGTTGTCTGGTGTCATACCTTCCTCGGCCGATGGTAGAAAATGTCAAGTGGTGACAATATAGAGATTTCCCAAATCACAGAGCGTTAATCATTTACCATTTCTAAACGAAATATACAAGTCTTCATACTGATAATCCCTCCTTGACTAAATCTCTTTCTCTTTCCTAAGAACACATGCGATTTTTGGAAATGTCAACATAATGTCGGTGAGTATACATGTTTTCATACTTTTTGGCTTTAATTGGGTTGTATCATTTTAAGAATCTTTTTTCTTTTAAAAAACATTTCCTATTGTATTTTTTAAACCCTAGCTTACTATCTATTAGGATTTCTAACGAATCCTATCTTTTTAGTATATATCTATTTATCCTAATTTACTATCTTTACGGGATATCTAACGATCATAACGTGTTTTATCTGTGATATCTAACGGTCCTTTCTTATTATCTCTAGGATATCTATCCTTTCTTATTACATCTAGGATATCTAGCGATCTTATCTTAGTATTTTATTAGGATTTTTATCTATTTCTAACGTATTTTATCTACTATTCCAATGCATCCCTAATGGTAGTTATACCCTAAGGTGATCTAATGTATTACCATGAGCCCACATAATCGACTTTGTTTGACTAAAATTTGTACCCCGCCATGACACTTCATTGGACGTCGAAAAGTGAATAATAAGAAAGTTAGCCTACCGGGATTGTAGCTAGCAATCGCAGGTTGGGTTATCAGGCACCGTATAGATCTATGCATATTTTTCTAACTCTCGTAAGATTAACGATTATAAGTATCTAGGGAATGCAGAATTTAATCAAGGCATTTGGATGAATTAACAACTCACTAACGCATTGACCTTAGGTATTTATCTTTTATCTTTTATCTTTTACCTTTTATCTAAATCCTTCCTAGGGATTTCCTATAATTATCGCAATATAAGTATTTTATCTTATATTTGATAGTTATAATCTTTTATGTAGTGACTAAAAACATGGTTTGACATGCGAAATTAAAGCTTGTACAATTGAACATGGTGATTTGGGTGTTTAAGAGATATATTGAATGTATATGGTGTTACAAAAAGGATCTAGATCTAGACTACATCATTAACACACACTTACACACTCACTTTTACATCTCTCAAGCACACCTCTACAAGTGGTATGAACCCACTATTTATAGAGGTGTTTACATGTCTCTCTCTCACTCTCTAACAAATGGGTCTAAAGGCTAA